TTTCATGCACGCTCAAAACGCAACTCTACTTTTCATATTCGAATTATATACTTATATTATTTATACTTTGTTACATGTAGTTCAATTCAAAAAAGCCGTATACTCAAGCCGAACTTGATGAGGTACGGGATGAATGGGTCGGATATGTTGCGAACTACGTTTAGTTTGGATTAGATAGTAAATATAGTTTTATCATTTTAGCCTTTTAATATGTAAAACCTTGAACCATGAGAATGTTTATGTCAAAATGCATTGGTTGTATTTGTGAGCTACTCAACACTTCTTAATATTGCTTACTTAATGAATGAGATATTATAGAAGGATTGACAACGTATGTTGTTGTTGTTTAATTGCTGAATTCTATTGAACATGTGTATTAGAATTTCTACTGATTCTGTTGGTGGTGTGCTGAGATTGTGTTTGTGATGTGCTGATACAAGTCTTTTAATTATTAATTTATTTTGTACGATTGTTTAGCTGGAAATATTTTGATACAGGTCTTTTAGGTATTATGGTATGTGGAATATTTTATTAATATTTTTGTTTCAGGTTTTTTAAAAAACAATGTCAGTTTAGAACTGACATTGTAACCAACTGACATTGTAATTGTGAACGAAAACAATGTCAGTTATAGAGGAACGATGTCGGATTTATTAATGTCGGTAATTAACTGACATTATATAAACAATCAATGTCGGTTTGTAACTGACATTACAGACCAACCGACATCGTAGGCTACAATGTCACCCCGGTTCATGTCGGTTGGGAACTGACATTGATATAACCGACATCGCAAATCATTAATGTCGGTTTTATTGATGTCAGTTAGGAACCGACATTGTTTGAGAAACGACATTGTACCATACGATAACACCCGGGTTAATGTCGGTTTGGAAACCGACATCTAATATGTATGATGTTAGTTGACAACTAACATTACAGGCCAATTTTGTAGTAGTGCACGAAGCAATTCACCAAAAAATGCGACAAATGCCAACGGTTTGCAACAGTACCTAGGCAACCGCCAGAGCCTCTAATGAGTATAATGAGTCTTTGACCCTTTGCTCAGTGGGGAATGGACCTTATAGGTCCTCTCCCACTAGGAAAGGGTCAGACCAAATTTGCAGTGGTGGCAGTCGACTATTTTACTAAATGGGCCGAAGTTAAAGCCATAGCTACAATTACTGAGAAAAAGGTCACCGACTTTATCTGGAAGAACATAATATGCCACTTTGGAATACCCTACACCATTATCAGTGATAATGGAAAGTAGTTCGACAATGCTGCCTTTCGAGAATTTTGCAGGGAGTTGGACATTAAACACATCTGTTCTTCGCCAGCACATCCGCAGGCTAATGGGCAAGTGGAAGCAGTCAACAAAATCATCAAGAGAACTCTGAAAACCATATTAGAAAAGCTCAAACGGTTGTGGGCAGAGGAACTTCCCAATGCATTATGGGCCTACAGAACAACACCTTGTACTTCAACGGGAGAAACGTCGTTTTCACTGTCATTTGGCTCTGAAGCAGTGGTGCCAGTGGAAATTGGTCTCCCTTCCCCAAGGGTAGAGCAGTTCAGTCTACCCGACAACAATGAGTCCATGCAGCTCAGCCTCGACCTATTAGAAGAACGTCGAGAAACAGCATGACTACGAACGACTGAGTACAAAAATCGTATAGCTCGATACTACAACTCGAAGGTTAAGAAGCGTGACTTTAAAGAAGGTGATTTAGTGTTAAGAAAGATTATGCCTAATACCAAAGATTCAACTAGCGGGGCATTCGGGCCAACATGGGAAGGCTCATACAAAGTCACTAAAGTGGTTCGAACAGGCACTTATGCTCTAGAAGACCAACGAGGAAAGGTCTTACTACACCCATTGCACGCTCAGCACCTCAAAAGATACTACCACTAGTTCGACATATTTCTAGACATTTTTGTGTTTTTCCATTATGTGGATCAACTAAGGTTATTGTAACTAAATCTTCGACAGGACGATCTTCCTACTAATAAAGTCTTCGACATTCGACGTGATACTTGAGTTTTTATGTTCATGCTGAAATAAATTTCTCAAGCAGGGGGCATCATATATTTACATATCTACGACCAATCAAGAAACTCAAAATTGGGACAGACCTAGAAGCAAGCCAAACAGGCAAAAAGCCAGTAATGGCTGGCATGGTCAAAACTAGAGCAGAAAAATACAGGATATAAAACTGTTTGGCATAAAAAACCAGGCAAGTTAGAAATCCAAAGGTATCGACATTAATTCTGTTAAAGTTAGATCCCAAGGCTAAAAGTAAATGGTTTAAACTCAAATGAGAATAAAACCAGGCTCAAGAGACTTGATTATGGCCAACGAAGAATTGGAAAAAACTTCCAAATCATGAATAGTATCGACAAGCTCAAGGCACAAAACCAGTGGCAGGAACCAAGCAGCTAAAATCCAAAATTGGACAAAAGCTTTTGATAGAAGCTCTGTACATTAGAAACATTGACATTATTAGCCACTGATATTATAAATGAGGCTATAGAATGATCTCGCGGTAACGACAAGCGACAGGTACTCTCAAAACAAAGATCTTGACGCAATTATTCGTTTTTTGTTTTGAGGGTGGGGGTCATTGTTATACAGAATAGAAACGACCCGAAACGAGACAAGAAGCCCGAGATCATTGACTAGGGGAGATCGACACGCGACGTAACGGGTCGGCCCAAAGGACGACTTAGCGCCGAGGCCGTCATGGCGCCGACCCCACCTCGATGTCGAGACCTCCTCGTCGCCAAGGCGCCTACTTCTCAACAATCGCCTTCGGGCCAAGATACCATGTGGGCTTCCTTTGCTCGAATCTACATCAAGAGATTAAACACACTTATTCAGGGTCGAGGCCGATCATTAGGCCTCGCAAATCCGAATTAGGGCTCAACTACAAGAAGGTTCTGGAACCACCCTCACAGCTATAAATAGCAGTGCATCCTAACCCTAGGGAGGCAAGTGACATATCCCTAACTCGCTATTTTCTCAACTCTCCCTCGCTAATTTAGGCATCGAAGCCTGTGTGACTGAGGTCACACCGGTTTAGATCAGTTTGGTTTTGCAGGTATCGATTCCCTTATCATCGAGTTAGATGTGTGCGAGAAAAAGAACCAGAGGGTCAAAATCCACGCATCAACAACCATGATTTTCATGACCACATGATCTCTTTCATTCAGATGTAGTACTGTTCATCTATATATTCCTCCTCTCTACTTTGATATCACATGACGTCTTGACTTTCGTTTAATATTTAAAACATTGGGTAGGATGGGGAGTAAATACCAAATTAAGAGGAGGTGTTTTAAGATATTTTAATAGGTGGGGGGCATAACTGCAAATTTCTTGGTTCCAGGGGTACTTGAGAAAAATCGAATTTCCCATTTGCGTAGCATTGAAGAGTTGTACAATCAGTTGGTCATTTCCACAATCGCCGGCTTGTTCGGTCACCGCACAATACTCAATTTCTATTGGCCCAAATCCTCTCTCTCTCATCACTACTTTTTTTTCTCAACAAAAAAAAAAAAAAGAGTTTGGTGGAAAAGCAAATCAATAACAAAAAAATAGTTGAAATTCTGCTTTCCACGTTTTAGAAGCTATTTAAAATGCCACGTTTGGATTAATAGTTAAATTATAAATTTATTCGGGTTGACTTTCAATTTAATGTCGATGATTTCAAAAGTTTTCTTTGAATTAGATTTTGATTTCATCCCTATAATTTTACAAGTTTCAATTTCGTCTTACAGTTTGGTCGAACCTTATGAATCTTCCCTCCTTTTAGTATACCTAATATACAACAGGTAATACATTTTTTTATATGATAATGAGTTTGTATTTTTTTTTTTAACTCGTTGTGTTATTTACGTTTGAGTAAAAAAATGGAGGAGAAATTAGTGGATTTTCAAATAGGTAAAAAAAATAGGTTTTTTTACTTGACCGTTAAATTAGAGCTTTTAAAACTACATAAACCATATTGAAAATTGAAATTTTTAAAATCACATGACCAAATTGAAAGTAAGTCTAAACTTTAGATTGATATTTTTTTAGGAATAAGTATATTCTTTTTTTACATGTTTAATAAATAGCTACTTGGTTTGTGCCGACTTTTAAAAGATAGCATCTTTTTTTTTTAATTTAGAAAAATTAAACTCTCAAACTTTCATAAATGATAATATTAGAGTTTAAGATAGTGTATGCATTTCACCCAACCTCTTGACTAACTCCAAAAGTACTCTACAATGGTAAGTGCTTTTGACTATTTTCAAAAACATTTCTATGTTATTTCCAAATCCGGTGAAAAAACTGTTTTTACCTATTGAAAAATGTTTTTCACATGACAAAAACATTATCAAACAAAGCTAATTAAGAATCGCATTAGGTGCTAAAGTGAGCAGTAATTGACATATATCTCCAACCACGAGGTTGTGAGTGATAGTTAATTACCTTCAATTCTTTTAAGCCTATCTTATGTGATGTTGGTTCATATATGTAGTCGTCCTCTCTATTCAGGTATCACATGCCCACCAATTTCTACTTGGTTCATCCATGAACCACATCGTACTCACAGATGTATGTCTTAATCAATTGAATTATGCTCATGTTGACAAATAGAAAATTCAACTAAATCATTGGCACTTAATGCATTTCTGAATGAGTTTGTTTACATCTATTCTTATTCTTCAATAAAAAGTATTAAGCAGGAGTAGGTCTTATGAATTAGTCTTTCTGCTCCAACGACTCCCATAATATCCTTAATGAATCTCTTGTAGTAAGTAATATAGGTCTAGTTCTCTTCTACTCACACTTAAAGTATGCCTTTAAGAAGATATCTTTATATAAAATTAATGCCATCATGCATCAACTATTCCGTCACTATTACTTAACTTTTGAGCCCAAACTTTATCTTCGCGCAACTTCTACATTTTTATATTATCGTTGATCGGCTTAAGAATTTTATTCAAGCTTCCACAGAAACAAGAAACAACAAATTTTAGTTTCCACTAAGATTTCAAATTGTTACGTCAAATTCAATCAATCGAAATCTTGTATATCCCAACCTACATAATATAATATAAACTTCCAAATTATATATAATATATTGAATAAAAGTAAAAAAAAAAAGGGTAAACTATTTGTGTTGACTCATAAAAACTTGTTATTTTTTTTAATATAAAATAAAATCCAAAGACAAGTTTTCCTTAGCGACTTGCTCTCCATAACTTTAAATATACTTTTCTTGGAATTCCAAAATCCCACAGGGGAATTTCCGATTTCAAATCCCAAAACGCCGCCACCTCTCGCGGTGTCTCCTCCCGCCGGGCCGCCGTCGCCTCCGCCGCGTACGCCTGCACTCCACCTACGTGGCTAAATCTCAGCCGTCCGCCGATTTTCCGTGCTCGTGAATCTAGGCCCTTCGCTTTTATCTGATCCCGAGAGCGCCCTCCCCCCGGTTTTCGAAAACCAGATCTGATTCTTCCGCTCTCTTCTAAATTCCCGCTTTCTTTTTCCTCTCTTTTTCAACTGTTCCGATCGTGTTCTTGATCTGGATTTCAGTGCCGCTGCTTTCAATCCCGTCGTTTTTGTGGAAGATTTGTGAGAAACAATGGCCAATTTCGCATCGATTTGCTGTGTAGTTCTTTCGGTCCTGCTTTTGGTTCAATTCTCTGTCTCTGTGGATTCTCCGGCGGAATCCCCCGCTCCGCCGCCGCAGACTGGCGCCGATTCCCCTCCGCCGCGCTCTCCTTCTTCCATTTCCAGTCCACCGGACGCATCTCCTCGGAATGCACCGATTAGTTCCCCTCCATCGCATCCACCATCAGATCTCGCTCCCGGTTCACCTCCGTCTCCATTGCCTTCGTCGCCTCCTCCTTCCTCTCCGGCTCCGTCTCCGCCGCCATCCGAATCTGCCGACGTTAGCCGGAGCAATGTGAGCAAAGGAGACGAATCGGAAGGCGAATCGAAGGACGGGATGAGTGGAGCTCAGAAATTCGGAGTCGCAGTAGGCGTGATCGGAGCGGTTGTTTTGGCCGGATTTGGAGGATTGGTGTACAAGAAGCGCCGAGACAATATTCGCCGATCTGGCTATGGATACGCAGCGAGGAGAGAGATTCTCTGAAATCCGCCATGCTCTGGTACTTTTTGGTTGTTTTTAATGTAATTGATTTGATAGTATACACTTTTTTCTAGGGATTCATCCACAGTTCTTCAACTCCTGATTAAATATTCTTTTTGCTCGATTACAATTCCATTATACATCACTGATGTGTTAGTTTTTACCGCTCTGTTTCAATGTTTTCGAATTCAAATTTCATACTCTGCCTCCTGGTTTGATTTTCTGATCTTTTCTGTCGAGTTCTCGAGCATCTGATTCCTGTTTGGTTGCTGAGAAAGTTTTAGAAGAGAAAATTGGCGAGGATGCATCATATTACCAGCGAAAAATTGGTTTTATGTGTGGAAATTATTGTCTTTCTTCAGTTCCTTTCACAGATCACAATCATATTTGCATACTGACAGAAGAACTAAACTGAATTTGTTTATATCTTCCAATTGTGAGAGGGAGAAATTTTGAAATTTTGAAGTTTTGAAAATTTGAAAATTTGAATCTTGTATTGAAACTTTTTTAAATTCGCGATTTTATAACTCTTTCTTTATAATTTATCTATCTTACTTTGTAATTTTAAAATATTTTAAAGTCCAAGTTAAATAAAAAAAGAAGAAATTCTGAAAATTGTTGGTATATAGTTTTTTTTCAATTGATTTATTTGTGATTTCGGTCCATTTGAACTTCTATTTATTATTTTTCTTAGTTTCCATCTATTATCATAGAAATTAAATGTAACCTAAATGATAACTTAGGGAAAGATAGAAGTCTACAATAAATGTGTCTCATCAAAAAGAGAGATGTGACTTATACAATTCTATCAACTATAGAGTTTGAGCTTAAAATACGCATTTGAATACACGATTGATCATTCATTGTACTATTTAGTAGTATGTAACGATTTAGTTTATGTACATTTAAATTGATAATATTAGTCCACGTAGTTTAAAATTTATATCAATTTAGTCCATATGATAAAAAAAAATCTTATTAAAATTAAGTGTCGATTGTTATCGTATACGAATTTAGTATTTGTAAATTTCAGATGAGAAAAAATTCTCTATTGGCCTAGAATCAGATCCCAATTATATAAACAAACCTCAAAATATACTATTGGGAAGTGATTGAGGACTTAACCCTTCATGAATTTCGTGTTTAGTAAACCCTTTCTTTTCTTTTCAGAATTATCCCAAAGTACTTAAATATTATTTAACAAATGAAAATGAGAGAATTTTGAATTTTGATCAATGTAGAACATGTGGAGGTCTCAATTTAACAAAAATGTCGATAGAAACATCTATAAATTATCGATTTCGATAGTTATTTCTAGAAAAATTCATAACATACAAAATTCATAAGAAATATTTAAATCAACAATTAACCACCATTTTCAAATAAGTTTGAAATTCTTAGCCTTAGAATGTAATGATATTTTGTTGATATTTTAAAATTTTTTATCTATTTCTTTTGTGATATTATGAAAATTTAGATTCATTTGACGTTGAAATAATGTCAACTCAATTTTTGTTAGTTTAGTATAGATAGAGGCCGAATAAAGTTATAGCAAAAAGACAGTGAAAATTGGCATTGGAAGAACTTTACGGATTGAACCAATCAAATTGATTGAAACTAACTAGAATGATCCAAATCAAAGTGACCGACCATTTTTTTTAATACAACGAAGGTTGAGGTATGGAAGTTTGAATTTTCAACTTCAAAAGAAGGAGTAAATGTTAATTACCGCTAAACTATGTTCATGTTGATAGAGATTCGATGAATTTTAGTTATTTTACATTTTATGAAACTAGTCAATTGACCTATATTGTTTAAATCTATAGATTGATTGATCAATCTTTTGGATTTTGGCTCTCTTAGAATAAACACATTTTAATGTTCATTGTTTCATCTTTGCTTATGATATATTAAGGGATATGAAAAAGGTATATAAGTGATATACTCTATATATGAATTTATCAAATGATACAAAAAAATGATATATTATTCATATATATATATATGAATAATATGGCCATCAAAGTTTACCACTATCTTATGACATTATAATTTCTCTTTTTCTTTTATGTTTATGGTTTTTATATCTATCTAATGTCGACCTTCTGTATACTCTACTCATCGATTTTTGCATTTCTATACTACTTGTGTCATAATATATATGTATATACCGATTTCATGTCGTTGTACATATGCAACGTAACAGGTTAGCTTTCAATGTTAGCAAATTCATGCTTGATACGTGATATATCTGATGAAATTTGATTTTTTTTAAGTACATAGTTCAACAATAATTTTAATCTTGTTCCTATACTTTAAAATTCTTTTTTTTTTAAATCTTTTCAAATTTTATTAAAATTCTTTTTTTAAAAAATCTTTTCCAGATAATTAAGAATTGTCTACTAAAGTGAGCATATTTTAAAATTACAAGAACCAAAACGGACATTTTTAAAATACAGGAACTAAAATGAAACTACATGACCAAAATAAAACAAAGTTGAACAAAATAGTATTTTTAACATAAAATATATTATCAAATAATCACCAAATATTAGTATAAATACTAATAATAAGATTTATAATTTTTTTTTTACTTCAGATTCATAATTTATTTTGGAAAAGAAAAGAAGTTATAAAAAATTTTATTTACAAAGATATCCATGAATATCAATATTTTATTCATATGTCCCTATAATTGAGACCTCAATATCGTCATCCATCATTAATTACAATATTATTAGAAGCTTTCTTTGTATTTAATTTTTTCACATATAATAAAAAGTATTAAATATATTATTTTACATTTCCCATATATACATTACTTCGAAGTTCATCCCTAATTTTTTGAAGTTCCATTTTGCTCTTTTAAAAGGTTGAACATTCATCTGAATATGAGCAATGAGAAAATCCACCCAATCCCTATCCCAATAAACAACTCCCTAAAAAACAAATCTCAAAACCTTTAAAATTAACTAATTTGTTTTTGTTTCTCATTTTTTTGTCAGAAACAATCTCAAAATTGTATAGAAATTTTGAAAAATAAATAAATAAATAATTGTTTCTTGTTTTTTTTGTTCTCATTTCCAATTTGTTCTAACATAAATAAAGATTTTATTTTATCATTCATAAATCCATGAATCTTAGAGGCATGCAATGCTATTTTCCTTTATTAAAAAAAAAAAAAAGAAACAGAAACAATAAATGTTACCACACAGACCCTTAATTTCGTCACTTATCAACCGGAAGGGAAAAAAAAAAATATCTTGCTTCAATCTGCTCCCAAAATGCAGCATGTGGAGAGAAAAAAAAGACATCAAAAGAATTGAGAGATAAGAGAGTTGCAATTCAATGCATGAAGTGGTTGAAAACTCTATTTATAGATGAAAATTATTGGTGAAGGGAAGTTTTACAGAGTGAGTTACATACCAATTGGGAAGCTGTGAAGCTTGTTCTTTCACTTGGAGCTCAGCAATTGACATTTCACTTACAACACAAATCAAAGCTGTGGTCTCCCCTCATCCAGATCTTCTCCTAATTCTTTTAACCACTACATTACCAACCATGCCTATGCCTCCCTCATTCTTCTGCAGGAGGTTCGACCCAACGGCCGTGATCTTTTATTAGCTGGATCAGAGCATCGGTCGCATTCTCCATAGCGATTCCACGCTTCACCACAGTCTGAACAAAATTCAACTTCTTATCAAGAGAGACAGTATCATTCAGTTACATGGTTTGGTTTGGTTTGTTTAGGTTCATGATTTGGTTAGTTTCCTCCTAGGTTCTATTTTGTGATCTGAGAGTGAAGATGTTTCTTTCTTTCTTCCTTCGATTGATTTTTGATAAGTGCGGTCAGCGGACGAAGAATAAGAATAAGAAATGGATGCAGTGTTACCTTCCCGACGTAAAGATCGATTTTTCCAGGGGAACCCCCAACATACCCAAAGTCAGCATCAGCCATCTCCCCGGGACCGTTAACAATGCAACCCATAATTGCAATCTGACATTGTGGAAGAAGGGAAATTAGGAATTATATGAAGCAAATTGCATTGAAATGTGTTGCTTTTTGATGTTCATTTAATGAAAGTTTCAAAGCTGTGTTAACTTACTGAAACTCCAGGCAGATGTGATGTCTTCTCCCGAATTTCTGCGCTAATTTCTTGAAGGTCAAACAATGTTCTGCCACAAGATGGGCACGAAACATATTCCTGCAGTTTTAAATGTGTAAGGATATAATCAACGAAAGTTTTCATTCACTAAAAGATGACAGCCCGTTTGATCACAATTTCGTTTTGAGTTTTTTGTTTCTTAAAATTATGTTTTTTTTTACCTTTCTTATAAGCTTATTTGAGTTGTTAAAAAACACAAATTAGTTTTGTTAATTTTCAAAATTTGACTTAGATTTTTAAGAAAAAGATAACACGTTGGTGAAACTAATGTTTAAAAAAACAGAAAATCAAGAATAAAATAATGTTTAAAAACTTAATTTTTAAAAACAGAAAATCAAGAATAAAATAATTATCAAACGAGGTCGGACAAATTCTTACAGTCTTTGTATTTCTCATTCTGCAACCCTGTAGCAAATTGAAGGATGTGTTCCTAACGAAATCAAAATCCTTATCTGAGGCCTCTAATAGGATACCATCTCCAAGCCCGTCCACCAAAAGCGCTCCCACATTCGAACCAGCACCGATAACCAAGTCATCTCTATAAGAAGAAAGGGAAAAATATAATTCATCACCCGAACACGTCAAATAACAATGAAGTTAAGGAACAGTGACTACCTGTGAATGCCCTTTGGAAACTGAATGTGATGAATCACAGGGAAATTAAGAGCATTCTCTGATAAATACTCAAATAACCTGAAATTAACATTTGCAAGATACGATGACATGTTGCTCTATATATATACTAATTAATAAATTGCTCGTAAAGTCGTATTGTTATACCTCCTAGCAGCATGCACTCTGCTGACCTTGTCTTCAGAATATGGCAAATCATGAAAAATCATTGTAGCATCAATCTCTTTCAAGATTTCCAGTTCATTGTATGTTTCATCGCCTCGAACAGACACAACCAAGCGCGTGCCTGAGAGAATTTATCGACATGGGATGTGAAATGGAAATAACAAAAAGAAAAAAAAAAACACCTACTGAAATAGAAACA